TTCCTATGCATTTTAATTGAATAAATCGGTGTATTTTACTGTTGTGATGGTATTTTACTGTTGTGTTTCCATTTCGTCGCACACTACTGTATTTGCACAAGTACATTTGACTACAAGTACGCGCTCGTGTATTTCTGGATATATCAGTGGTGCGGTTTGATATTGATTATATTGAAATAAATTAAAATAAATAATGGGAACGTACAGAAACTATATGCACAAGTGATTTCGTATATTGTAGTGAGACGAATATGGCAAACGACAAATGACGACATCTTCGTTAAATATTCTATTAAAATAAAAAACAGGTTAAAGTGAGAGTTTAACAGGAAGCAGCCGATCGTTGCTTTGCTTTATCACACCATTAAACATTGCCAACAATGTACACAATGCACGCACAATCATACTTCTAACCACTTCTGATAGTCCCGAGCAGAGTTGTGCTTGGAATGTATACCCATTATATGTACGTTTATTGTCATACATATTATCATATCTGTTAGAAGCAAAAGTGTTTGTATCAATTAGTTTTTATACTCTTGCAACATGTTGTTGTTTGTATCCCCTCCATTCGTCCGTTTGACTGTCTGTGTAAGCGACAATTTAAAATAACATATCTCCGTATTGACTCGACCGATTTAAACAACGCTTACTTCCCATGTAACAAAATTTAAAATCCCTCTTATTCTTTCACTTTCCAGTATATACATAAATCAATAACCAATCGATGTATCCGAATAAAAATTTGTACACATAGTGCCATCAAGGTCAAAAATTGTGGAAATCGGACTATAACTTTATATTACTCAAGAAACCCGACGCCAAATATGTGAACCCCAGTGCGTATGGCTGACTTTTTGCCGATAATATCGGGGAAAATGTTTTGTTTATAATAATATATCATTGTGTCAAAAATGAGTTAAATCGGATCAGTACTTCCCTTAGCCCCCATATACCTAATATAAAGATTTTCGAACTTCCAGTTGACTTTATACCACATATATCACCCAATGTGTGAGTTTTTTAATGAAATTGAGAGAGCGTGTTTTTCTAATAACAGTGTATCTTTGTGCCTAAAATGGATAATATCGGGCGAAAACTTGCCTTAGCGCACATATAACTGATATTCGGGATTTTGAAACGTCCAGTTGTACTCCATATATATGTTTATTTATTTTTTTCTAAAATTAATTGTGTCAGCAACCAATCTTAGACAAATGTATTTTTTTTCTAATTGACTAAATTAAGGAGCCGAATAAAACACCTGTCAGAGTTGAGCTTTTTTAGGGAAATTTCACTCAGAAGAATTGGTGGCTTTAAATTAAAGTGTTGTTTGTATTTGTATACAAATTTTATGGTCTATTTTTTTTTATTTTTATTTATCGAATACATATGTACAAATGTATGTACATATATCTAAAAGATTAAAAGAAAAGTGCCTATATGTTCTTTTCGTAAATTTAAATCAATATGCTTGTTCTTTAATTTCACGACTATTCTGATTTATAGTTTCTTACAACATAATCTTATATCTGCATATAAACTTGTGTCATGAATACGTGTGTATGTATATATGTACCTTTACTTTTTCCGTTGAATTCCAATCCGGTTTTTCGACGCCGGTTCGCATGCAAGAAAATATGTATTTTCTCTTAAATTCATACGCATACCTTCATATATAGAGATATTTATATATACATATATGTATGTAACTAAACATAGATATATAAATATATATACATATCTAAATTGCATATATGAATAAATTTTGACGCATTGCATTTTTGTATTCTTATCAATGCACCGGCTAACTTATCTTGCTCTAGCGAAACACCATGTACAAATACACATCTATGTACATATATGCACATGCATATGCGCTAACTGCATATATGAGCTACAAAAGCCGATGCACTCAAGTGAACGAATAACTGACTCTCATCAAATTATATAATGTGCAATTTTGTTATTTGAGAGGGAGAGAGAGAGTGAGAGAGAGATTAAGTAAGCGATTATTGCATCGTACGCATTTACCTAATCACCCGATCACGCAAAGAAAATAATTTCAACTTACTATTCCTTTCACTCGTTACGTTCGCACTTTCATATTCACATACGAGTATATATACATTCATATGTACGTAAATAGTACTCTAAGCAGAGTTATCCAATGTATGCGCTTAATTGTTACCTGTGAGTTCTAAAATAAAAAATAAGAAAGAGTTTTGTATGTTGAATGCCCTATGTACAGAGTTCATCCAGTCCAGCCACAATTATTTCTAAACAACTGTCTAGTATAATAAAAAAAAGCACGTACTGCATGTACTACAACAAGGGAGTATTGTACCTAACTTAATTACATTTCAAAATATTTTGCGATCTTGACCTTCGCTCAGTGCAAATAGAAACACAAATTTACTCGCTTGCTATGTGCTAATACCCGGCAGTGAAATCTACTGGTTAAAAACAACTTTAAATTAAATTTCATACAAGTAACTGGTGTTTTTACTATTACTGTCCTGCGAGAAGTCGTCAGTATCTGGAACAAGTACAAAACAGATATACATATAATTGTCTAGTTCAATTTGATCCGCAATGTCTTTCTGTGTAAACTTTCTAAATGAGTAGTATAAATGTAATACCCTTCGGACTAGTCCGATTTCGTTTGGAAACTCTAATTCAAAACTAATATTCTTTCTCACCGATTTAAAGTGTCACTGAATGTATGTAAGTATGTCGGATTCTTTTTACGGCGCTTTACTTGGATGCTCAAATTTTAAAATCAGACTTTGTGCATTTTAATCACTCCTCCATACATGTTAAGTGAATAATAAATTATTGTTTATGTCAAACGTTTTTCACATTAAAAAATATTAATTAAAATTAAATAGATGGTATTTGCTGTTTTCAGAAAGTTGAACAGTTTCTTGAACTTGCATTTTATATACATACATACATGTGTATCTGCTAATTTACTTAGTTATTTAGATACATATATGTATATGCATGTATGTGTGTATGTATAAAGTTAGCGCGTTTTGATTGAACTGTGTAATGAATTATGGTAATGTTTTAGAATTGAATATTGCTTTGATTAAACATAAGGAAATGCACGGCAGATGTATAAATGCCATTTTCGGAAAGCATTTTGTACTCCGATCCTTATCCAATCACTATTATAGGAAGTATCGATAACAAAGAATACAATTCTCAAAAATTCGGGAGACTTCCCAACACTATGTACATCATCGGGTGTCGGAAACGCTTTTTTTGTAAGTTTTTTCTATGGTAAATCGCCTGACGAACTTTTCGCGTTGTAAACAAACACACAGCCAAACACACACCAATTGAAATATGGAGATCAAACTTCACACGAATATAAAAAAGGTTGAACCAGGAAAAAATATTTATCGATGCGGCTTGCGCGCGCAGTTCCGGGTCAAATCTGATCTTGAGTGAAAAATCAGTCCCATAATATCCAAACACCTCCACCAAAGCATGCAAACTATTGGTTGCAGTGACCCGATACATGACCTGGTGTTCAAAGCATTGCCAGACAAATACCTTCCTTGACTATTTCTTGTGCATCTTACTAAACTATATTACACGATTTTCGTGCCTCTCGCTGCAATTTTGAATGCATGTTAAATGATTTTATGTGGACCTCACTTAACAAAACTCCATGTCAAGCTTTTATGGTGTTTGCTTCTCCATTAAGGAAATGCTAAAAGTAACAAGTATCGTGACACAAGCTCTCAATAGTTTAAACCAGTTGCAATTGGAAGTTTGACAGTAAATTAAATTGAGCTGTTATTAAAGTTGAACTTTATACAATTTCTATTATTATATTTAACAAAGTTGTGGGCATTAGATAAATTCGTTATTAGGTGCGACCGTCTACCAGCACGGAAACGGTTCTAAAAAGTCTACTGTTTTTTTAAAGGAAATATAAATTATTTAATACATGTATATGTATTCATATTATTTACGAAGGTGAAATTAATTAAGTCGAAGTGATAACGTTCAATGTCAATAACGTTGCTTTCAAAGCCATATTTTTTACTGCTCGTTAATAAATTGAGAGTGAAACCGATATTCAATTCCTTTAGAAGTTTGAGAGAACATTTCATGCACATATTTTTGGATAATCGATTTCGCTCTCTTACTTTTAATTTATTTTAACATACGAGTAAAACGTCGGCTGCTCGGGAGAGTTAGTTTTATCTAATTTACGAGTACTTTTGCTGGCATGTGCCTCTTTGAGAGAGAGAACATATACAAATTAAATTGCCTTTGAGAATAGACTGCACCTATTAGGTATTTCCATAAATATATGTACATACGTTTATTTGTGCAATGACTCTGATTCCGTGATTAGAATCGCTTAATTGTGCTAGCAATGAAAGCTTAATTCACTTGGTAATCGTTAAAATTTCATCATATGCTACTTTTTAACGGTATAATTTATTATTATTATAAATGTAATTGCATTAAATAATATATAAATTACCAAAGGCTGAACGATCTACTATTTAAATACTAATTTCAAGCCGAAATATTTTTGATAGCTATTTTACTAATTAATGCTACACTACGTTTAGATTACGTTTCCCCATTCATATAATATTTCACTGTTTTCTGCCCTTACCTTAATTAAAGTGCTTACGTGGCATATATAATGCGTAAGCGAGGTAATTCAGCACAAAAATAAAATAAATAAATAAAACGCTGAGCGGTCTATGCTAATGGCTTATGTGTCGATTATAAGCGTAATAGCGACATTTCGCCGTTCGGACATTAACACGTTGCATATTTATTTTTTGCATTTGCATACAAATGTATATATGTACATATATGTATCATGCACGTAGTTCTTCTTTAGTTGGATATGTATATGCATACATATAATCTTATAACATAATCTAAGCTTACTCTATACATTTAAACAGTGTGCGCTTACTAATTTTATTTCATTTTTTCATGTTTAACTCTTATTTTAGTAATTGAAATGTCAGCAGAGAAAATCGAAGAAATCCCTGTCGGCGATGAACCCTTCTTGGGTACACTGGACATTGCCATATTGGTGGCCTTAATCGCAGGTGCCACATGGTATTTTATGCGTAGTCGTAAGAAGGAGGAAGAACCCATTCGCTCCTATTCAATACAGTAAAGCTTAACATAAACTAAATATAAAATGGAAATATTAAGTTTTTTCATCCACCAACCTCTAGACCTACAACTGTCAGCACCACCATCTCATCCGACAACTCATTTATTAAAAAGCTGAAAGCTTCCGGTCGCAGTTTAGTCGTTTTTTATGGCTCTCAAACGGGTACTGGTGAGGAGTTTGCCGGTCGTCTTGCAAAAGAAGGCTTACGGTATCGCATGAAGGGTATGGTTGCAGATCCGGAAGAATGTGATATGGTAATTCCATGTCTCTATTTTATTTCACCCTATTTTGTTTAACCTTGCCTTCAAGAGTACTTACTTGTATGATGCCTGTGCATTTACATTTTCGCACACTCTTTATATTAATTCAATTGTTGTTATTTTTCACTGACTTTCTTTACACATAGGAAGAGCTTTTGCAATTGAAAGACATTTCTAATTCGCTGGCTGTATTCTGTTTGGCGACATATGGCGAAGGCGATCCAACAGATAATGCAATGGAATTCTTTGAATGGCTTTCAAATGGCGATGCTGATTTGAATGGATTGAATTATGCGGTGAGTAAACGAATAGGCAAGTTTTGAATATTTTTTTAGCGAGTAAATTATACATACATACATATGTACATATATTTTCTACGATCTAATCAAAAAGATCATTATATGGAAGTTAACGGATTCTTAATTAAAGAAGAGAACTGCACTCTTTTCTACCATTGATATATATTATAAAAGCAATTATTAAAATTTGCAGATATTATGAGTTATAAACTAATGTTTTGCATTTTAGTGTAGGTGTTAAAACTACGCTAAATCCAATGTAAAAAACATAATAGTCAACTCAAGTCAATGGTAAAGCGTACTTTACTAATTGTAATACATCATATAATATTATTATTAATTATAATATAATATCACTTAAAATATTTTCTTAAAAATATTATACGAGTATGTACAAGAGTATATGTTGTGTTCACTTCATTTTTCCCATACAAATAACATCTCAGCGCCATCTATATTACGATGTTGATAATATTAGGGTTGCCGGCTTTTTTATTTCTGAACAGCTGATAACTTACAGCTGTTTACACCTTACTATCTACCTGTTAAAAGACCAATGTGATATTGCATAAAGTGTTTCGTTTTACTTCCTATTTAAAAGTTTAATAAAAATAATAATCATAAAAGTTAATCTACATTACGTTACAACATTGCTTTTGCATCACACAACCTGTTAGTATGCTGATGCGATTGGGTGCACATCGATGGCGCAATGTTGTGTCTTCGAGTGCATCCTTGGAACGGCTGAGACACTATCAAATCGGTGTCGTATTAGACAAAGTTTGTAATAAGAAAATTAGTCTAACATTAAAAACCTTGCAATTAAGGTTAATTTTTTACCATAAGGAATATTTTTAGCTCTAATACGATTCAATAATTCACGATATACTATAACGTTATTAATTTTGTATGCTGTGGTATGTGTAGGTTTTCGGCCTTGGCAATAAAACTTATGAGCATTATAACAAAATGGCAATCTATGTGGATCAGCGATTGGAAGAGCTTGGTGCTACACGTGTCTTTGAGCTTGGTCTTGGCGATGACGATGCAAAGTAATAAAATTGCGTAATAATATTTATTAATGAAGTCATTGAAAAAATTTTTTTTGCAGTATTGAGGACGACTTCATTACATGGAAAGATCGTTTTTGGCCTGCTGTTTGTGATTTCTTTGGTATTGAGGGAGGCGGAGAGGAAGTGCTTATGCGCCAGTATCGCTTACTGGAGCAACCAAATGTACAACCCGATCGCATCTACACCGGGGAAATTGCACGCCTGCACTCCTTGCAAAATCAACGTCCTCCATTTGACGCTAAAAACCCATTCCTAGCACCCATCATTGAGAATCGTGAGTTACACAAAGGTGGCGATCGCTCATGTATGCATATCGAGCTGGACATTAATGGCTCAAAAATGCGATACGATGCTGGAGATCACGTTGCCACTTATCCTATTAATGACACCGAATTGGTGGAAAAATTGGGCAAACTCTGTAATGCTGATCTCGATACGGTATTTTCGCTCATTAATACTGATACGGATAGCAGTAAGAAACACCCCTTTCCTTGTCCCACAACTTATCGCACTGCTTTGAAACATTACTTGGAAATTACTGCCATACCAAGGACTCATATTCTCAAGGAATTGGCAGAGTATTGTACTGACGAGGCCGATAAAGAGTTCTTAAGAAGCATGTCTTCAATCACACCCGAAGGCAAAGAAAAATACCAGAGTTGGATTCAAGATGCCTGTAGAAATATTGTGCACATCTTGGAAGATATCAAGTCGTGCAAACCGCCTATAGATCATATTTGTGAGCTATTGCCTCGTCTGCAGCCGCGCTATTATTCTATATCATCGTCTTCCAAAGTAATTATCACAATATTATAAATGCGTCTGAGAACGAAATCTAATGTAAATCGTAATAATTACAGTTGCATCCAAATCACGTGCATGTAACAGCCGTTTTAGTACAGTACAAAACCCCCACCGGACGTATAAATAACGGTGTAGCCACCACATACTTAAAAAAGAAAAAGCCCGGTGATGAAGATGTTCGCGTACCGGTATTTATACGTAAGTCCCAATTTAGGTTACCTACAAAGCCAGAAATACCTATTATCATGGTTGGACCGGGCACTGGATTGGCTCCATTCCGTGGATTCATTCAAGAGCGCCAATATCTCCGCGATGAGGGCAAAAATGTAGGCGACACCATTTTATATTTTGGTTGTAGAAAGAGAAGTGAAGACTACATTTATGAAGAGGTACGATCTCAGAACTCTTATTTTCTAGTGGCATGTAATTATAGTATTGAATTTGGTTTTCAGGAACTGGAGGAATTCATCAAGAAGGGCACGTTGACTATGAAAGCAGCTTTCTCACGTGATCAAAATGAAAAAGTCTATGTTACACACTTAATTGAAAAGGATGCCGACTTGATTTGGAATGTGATAGGGGAGAACAAGGGGCATTTTTACATTTGCGGGTAAATTATCTTTATTTAATAATATTAAATGCAATCATTCATCCTATTTTACATGAAAAATTGAATTTTGCAGTGATGCGAAAAACATGGCCGTCGATGTCAGGAATATTTTAGTGAAAATACTTGTGACAAAGGGTAACATGAGCGAAGCTGATGCTGTACAATACCTTAAGAAAATGGAAGCCCAGAAACGCTATTCCGCCGATGTCTGGAGCTAAAAACTTTGACGAACAGCGTAATATCTGATCAAGTCTTTAATTCTCGTTAAGTAGAAAAATTAGTGTTATGGCTGTTATGGCGAAAATGTGTGCATCTTTATATGCATGTGAATGAATACCAGAATAGATAAGTAAAGCAAAGTACATCAACAAAAACTAAAAACAATAATTTAGTGGGAGGGCATCACATTCCGTCATCTGCAATACCATCCCAGGCAGAAGCCTTTATTGTGCCACAAAGCAGTTATTATTAAAAATACTTGACTACAGTGTAGAAGCAGAAGAAGTAACTAGTTAAGTGAACTTTTGAAACTAATGGTTTTGGAGTCTTTTAAACACGTGAAAAATATCAAGAAAATTAAAATATTTGTAAGATGATTTATTTTTTGAAAACATTTCGTTTTTAAGCCTAATGAAGTAAGTAGACGTGTTGATAAATATACGAGATAAACATATTAAATATTTATTTTGTATACTGGTGTAAAATTTATATGAACCATTGTGCAATTTATAAAAAAGAAAGTCAATAAAGTAAACATATTTTTTATTAAAACAAATTGTAAAACCTATTTATATTTTGATGAATAATTTACAAATCTACCCTTTTCAAGTTTTCTGATTTTAGTCTGCGTTGAAAAATTCAATGGATTCTCTCTTGAAAGTGGATTGTAAACAATTACTTATATCAGAGAACGTTCTATTTTACGTTCTCTGCTTATATACACCTCCTATCGCCTGGAGGAAGGATTGCTGGCTGACTTTTTATTACAAATGAATAATAGCAATTGTTGATATATGATTTTTGATGATTTGAAATTAAAAACTTAATTGTATTTAATAAAATAAAAGTGTTTTCCAACACTACACGTCAACCGCTTCGAATCAGCTGTTCACGTTTGTTGTTTTGGCGCCGCAAATATCAGTTTAATTTCGCAATTTCTATAATTTTATTTGTTATGAAGGAAGTTAGAAGAAGTATGCTATTTAACTAATTTTTTCACAAATGTTTAATATTAAAAAATGTCTACGAAGCGGAAAGATATATGGAAATTGCTTTATAATCTGGTTTCGAGAGATGGTACAGATCTGAATGATGTGTTTGCCTTTGTCGATGATATACTATGCAGGGAGCCTTCTCTTATACGACCTTCCTTGCGTGAACTAAATAACCGCTTTCAAGACACTTTTGTGCTCTGGATTATAAACAAATTTATTAATGGGTTAGGTGTATCGAATGTTAAATGTAACGCAAATAGTTTTAGTACAGAGGGGTAAGTTTTTTGTGTGGCTTCATTGCTTTATTGTTAATAACTAAAAACACATTTTAGAATGCATAGACGGAACATTCAATTACAGGAAAAGATACTTCAGTCTTGTTTGGTCAATCGCGCATTGCTATTTGAACGCTTAGTGGCAGCATACATCAAAGCTATTGAACAATTAACAAATGGATTGCAATTGCTTGATGAACAACAAGATATAAACCAAGTTGGTATTGAGACTGAACCCAAACAATTCCTTGAAGTCACAGCATTTTTTTGTGAAGATTTATGTTTGCGAGAAATCGATGCAGACTTTTCGTTTGAACCCATACGTGTCTCTTATCATGTAGTGGATGAGAGAGTTCGTTCGCTATTGCAGGTGTTGCATACTGCCGCACTTATTGGATATCCATTGTTTCCGCAATTATTTGCCGAATCGCTTCTAAGTGTGCTCCAGGTCGTGCGTGAATGTGATTTAACTACCAAGTTACAGGCGCTACGCTATTGTCAAAAAATATTTGAACTGGCCTGTAAATGCACTGAATTGCTAGAACATTATGGCCAACTAACCATGCAAGGGTTAGCTTTAATATGGGTTCAAGTTCCACTTTGGCTGCATGCTCGTTGCATGCGACTGGAAGAGTTAGATGACTTTAAAGATGTCACCATTGCAATAATCCGAGTACTGAAGGATTTCGGTAATGAGTTGCAGTGGACGCGACGTGCCTTAACCATGTTGGCCTTAAGTATTCTATATAATTGCACTGAATTGGAGCCAAAAGCTCAATATGAGAATGATAGCAAAAATTTGGGTGAACTTATTCGTGAGATCGTTACATTTATTATTCAATTGCCATTGGAAGAAGGGGAGGAAGACGTAATCGTTGAAGATGTCGAAAAACTTACCATATTATCGGAGATAAGTGAAATCGCTCTTCTGCTATTATCGGTGATACTTGCACGTGCAGATGACAAAAGCGAAAAACGGCAGCGGGCTTTGAAGTTTCTAAAAGCGAAAATTTTCGATACATTATATATGCGCGAAATTAAAGTAGATTCTTTAAAGCGTTTGAAGCAATGGTTGCAAGCACTAATATACGCAGAGCATCGGCTTTGTCAACGTAAGCAGTTAAACGCTTTACGTAAAAACACCGTCAAGGAAGTGGTGCAGGAAAATTACTACAATGGTATTAATTTATTTGCCTCGTTAGTAGATGACGAGTATATTTTACAGTTGGATCAAGTTATCTCCCGGTACCACGAAAATTCATTTTCACTGGATTTTAAAGATTTCGAGCTTGCCACGTTATACCTTGATGTTTGCGCATTGCTTATGAATAGTATTACTTTACGAGGCGCGCTGGACACAAAAACGCAGATTATTTTGCTACAGCGCATAAGTAATCCTTTAGAAGCCGCCACGCAGGAACGCCATCCCTCTCGAAATTTGCAGGCTGCAGCATTTGAGTCATTTCGCTTGCTTGCAAGTTTAAATATTAATGGACCAGATGAGGTAACTGCTCATTTACGTAAGCTCTATGAAGGCTTAATGAGTAGGATCTTTGATGCGAATCCGAAAATGGAGTCCGCTGAATTATTGATGAAGTTTCGTAAAGCATTTTGCGAACACTTCCACACATTGATAGCTTTTGGCTGGTTGACTTTGGATCGAGTATTGCGCGATTTTGTTGTTCCTGTGGCAGATATGCCGTCCATATTGATGGAAATGCTGCGTAATTCCTACTGTACCGGAGCCGGTGCTGCCACGTGTCGCATATTCCTAAGATTGTCACCTCTCGTCACATCTGATGTAGCTTTCCAGGAGCATATCATTGTTTGCCAACTTTGTGACGGAAACATTTGCTCAACTGCAACAGATGTAGAGGCGTATATACGTTCTAATAAAGTCACCTTACTTGAGTGCAAAAGTCAAAGTAAATCCTTGGCGAAAGGGCGGAAACCGCTGCCATTACTGCCGGTGGCAGTGCGTCGCAAATTATGTGAAACTTTGCTCACACAAAAGAACGCAGAAAATACATCGATTGGCCATCACCTAGAATTCTCACGCATTAGCGCAGACGATTTGTTCATTGTATTGCAGAGAGCACAGCATATCTCTAAACTGAATCTTGAGATATTACACACGCTCGTGCCAAAATTGTTTACTGCTGGTGATGAGCTACTTGTCATGAAATTCGCAAAATTTCTGCTGCAACAAATACTGAAATCACTGCAAACACAATCCACAGCAGCGTCAACATTGTCTTCGAGCTCTTCAACTTCTTTGTTGTCGCCCACTTCACAACGCCAGACACAGCTAAAGTTGCTGGAACTCATTACCTGCTGTGCGCACAGCGACATAAGTGAAATATGGCTTTTTCATTTATTCAAACTTACTTTCTTTTATCTCTTGCACCCACAATCGCAAGTCGTGCAGGAGGCTGTGCTGTGCGCAACCGAAATGTGTGCTAAACATGGCTTGCAACCAGTGCGGCTATGGAATTGGTACAAACGTGATGCGCTAACTTTGGTTGTGCAATTGGCAGTGCAGATATTCCTGAAGAACGGTGTGCGACTGACACGCTCACTCAAAGCTGTAAATCATTTAAACTACTTAAAAATATAATATATAAATTAGATTTATTCTGCTTCTTACAGTTTACTAAAATGCTAGGTTTCTCGTGCGTACAAGAGTTTATCTGCCGTTACTATCGCCTCTTGGCGACCATGATTCTGCCATATTGTGTAAAAGAGCCCCTGTGCAAAGGACTCATCGTTTGCATATCGAAAGTGACACGTAAACCGATCTCCACGATCTTTGTCGCTTCATTTCTGCGCATATACACACATATTTACCTAACTGAAGAGGCGGAAGTAGGAAACAAGTGCATTGAATTGATTGTGCGTTGCACTGAATTCAGTTTAAAGAAATTGATGAATACAGATGTGAAGGTATGTAAATAGGATGCTTTTTAAAATCCACAAAACTATTAGAAAATATATAATTTTAAAATTTAGCAACAGTAAACAAGTTAGAATAAAAATCATGAGTTAGTGCAGAGTGCACCGAGTAGGCGGCAGTGTCTTCTCAGCTAAACTAGATACCAAAATCGCCTTTCGGCTTCCAGACCACTGCAGTGTTTTCCAAGCGGAGGTCACCGCAATTAAAGAAAGCCTTCTTGTACTGACAAAAAGTGTGATCACAACAAGAAATATATTTATACTTGTATATACACACTGTGGGCTTTGAAATCCCGGGAACTGTGTAGCAAATGAACTAGCCAGAACAGGCACCACCCTACAACCAGATACTGGAAAGGAGGACATATATATGCCTCTGGCTACTTGTAGATACTTCATCGACAAACATGTCATTAACATAGCCGAGTCTCAGTGGAATCAGTCCCTGACTTGTTCAACTAGCAGGCAAACGTGGCATGAATGGAATATGAGCCGCACATGCCGACTGTTAAAATTCAAACGGAATGATAAAAGAACTTTAGTAGGAGTACTAACAGGCACTGTCTAATAGGCAGACATGCAAGTAGACTTGGTGCGCTGTCAGGAAGTAGAAGAGGAGGAGATCATAAAATATCTTCTATGCGATTACTCGGCAATATATAGGAAATGAAACGTAGCCATCGATCGAGGGTTTTTTGAGGACGTCTCCGAGGTTGCACGGATAAAACTTGTCTCACTGATGAAGTTCTTCAGAATCACAGGGTGGTTCAGAAAGGAGCTAATAGAGTGAGGGAACGTTAGTCCCGGTGGTATCACAATGGGCCTCCTAAAGGCCTAGGTGTGTCGAAAGACAGCAACACTGATTTCTATACGCCAATGTATTATTTCGGTAGGTTTTACGCCTAATGATTGTTTTCAACAAAGCTTAACAGAAGTGAGTTAGGAACTTCTTGACACATTCTATTTAGAAATGCAAACGCATTTTATCATAACATAAAACCATTTATTATTTCATAAATCCTTAATCGTCTTCTATTCGCAATTTTTCTGCCTATGTTTGGACTATCCTCTAATTGAATTGAATTAACGAGAGATTATATCGATACCTCATTAAAAATGTATGAGAGCTTGCTTTGCTGTCCATTTGATTATGCTAGTCATTTTCCACGTCTTGCCGAATTCAAATCCAATGTAGCTATTTTTATTCTTAATGTTGGCAAATTATTCTCATTGCAACTTACAATACTTGTAGATGCTTTATACAGAGCTAATAATTTTACGTTTCATGCAGCAAACGGTGTCCGAGTTTCTGATCTACTTCAATCGC